TCTGCGGTACAGATGATCCACCAGGTAAGATCGGTGAGCCTCCTTCACTGGTACGCTGGTACTCTAAGATGGGGGTGGTACCTGCCAAAGAGACTCCGATGCTCAAGTTAGGGTTTGTATGAGTGTGAGTCTCGTATAAATAATGCACGTACCTGGGTGTGAATTAAGGTTTTTCTGGGCCTTGGGCCCGAGATCAGTTATGACCTAATTGGATAGCGGACCTCGTCTTGGCCGAGGTCGCCCAACGCGTATCCGAGGTCGTCTTGCGCTGTGATGCCGAGCTCGAGCTCGGTAAGACGGTACGGATAGTACACTAGCCCCCCGAGCTCCGAAGACCGTAGGTCGAGGAGTTGAGACCGAGCTCGTCAAGGGGCCGTGACCTTTCGCGTACGCCTGCCTTGTGATTGCGGCGCGGTGACAAGATTGTATTTTTAGCTGTTTGATGACGTGGCCTCTTTGGCCGATGTGGTATTCCGATGTCCATGTTTCATGGCTGAGTTGAGGAAATCGACAATAGTGAGTTTACTACTTGGTCAGACTGGTAAACCTTTGACCGAGTCAGTCGATTGGTGAGGGACAAGTCGGCAACTCGGCTGGCCAGTACACTTGTCCCCCAAGCACCGAGTGATGTAAGAGCAAAGGGGCTTTTGAGGAGCTCCCAAATTTGTTGTTTGAAGGTTCAAATTTGACCTTGTTAAGTAGATGTGATCTTCAAGGGTCGAGCTCGACCTTGGTTAAGAAAATGTGATCTCAAGGTTTGGATTCGACCTTGGGATAACAAGGTTCGAACTCGACCTTGTTTAAGAAAATGTAATCTCAAGGTTCGGACTCGACCTTAACATAACAAGGTTCGAACTCGACCTTGGTTAAGGAAGTGTAGTCTCAAGGTTCGGACTCGACCTTGGCAAGTCGTCACGGTTAATGTGCCAATATCGAAAATATATGGGAATGGAGTTGCTTTATTGATTTATTTCTGAGGTGTGCCTCATTAAAACCTTCTTTGGCCAAAAACCCTTTTCTTTAGTGGGAAAAAAGGCTGAGGAGGAAAAAGAGTACATCACTTGAATTTACAAGTTAAGAGAAATAAAATTTGAGGTGGGTGGAATTCCAGGCACCAAATTTTATTTTGGAGGGGTCTGTTCTTGCATCTCTCACCCCACCAAACAAGGTCGCCAACTTTAAATGTTTGTGGCTTTTCCTTGGTCTTGCTTTCCTTATGGTTTGTTGCGAACCTGGTCACGAAAAGCAGAGTGCTCTTCCATTTGAATGTACCCTGCAGCTCGGTCACGGAGTTCCTCCATATCAAGAGAAGATCGTAGACACAGGCTGTCCACGAAAGGTCCAGGCTTGAGCGCCATGAGCATGGCGTGTAGGGTGACCTCGGGGTTCAATTTTCGAGGAGCTGTTTTAACGAAAGAGAACGTAGTTTGGAACAGGCCGTTCTGGTTTTGGAACGGCCCGTTTTGGGCAAATAGTAAATACACATGTTTTCCTATAAATAGGCCCTCTCCCCTTCATTTTTTTCATACGATTTCAGTTAAGTTTCTCTCCTTTATTCCTTCCCTGTACTGCTTCTGATTCACCTTCATAGTAAGAAATTATTTTTTTGGTTCAATTTTCATTAACCAAATATAAAAAATGTTGTTGTGGAAGCACCCGTTTTGGGCAAATAGTAAATACACATGTTTTCCTATAAATAGGCCCTCTCCCCTTCATTTTTTTCATACGATTTCAGTTAAGTTTCTCTCCTTTATTCCTTCCCTGTACTGCTTCTGATTCACCTTCATAGTAAGAAATTATTTTTTTGGTTCAATTTTCATTAACCAAATATAAAAAATGTTGTTGTGGAAGCAAAATGAGCATAGGTTTGCCTTCATTGGTAGAACGGTAAGTTTAGCACTTTCGTTATTTACTTTAAATTTTAATGAACTTGTAATAAATTAGTACTAATTTTGGTAATTATTGCAAGAGACTGAGAATATTATTTGTTCTTACTGTCATTCAATGTCAGAACCTCACCCTCTAATTGTTCCTATACTAGAGGAAGTTGGTTTTTCTGGGGTTGCAAACCTCAGACATCTGAAAGTGGATCACGCATTAATCACAGCTTTGGTTGAAAGATGGAGACCTGAGACTCATACATTCCATTAAAACACCTCCTATTAAACCTAATATATATGCTCTACAATGTGCATCAAGTTGTTCTTGAGATGGTTCCTCTGGTAATTCTAACATATTTTCTCTTAACCACTTTAACTTAATCATAGAGCCAATTAGTGACTCACCTTTAACTGGCATGATTCCGAGATAGGTGGAGCACATTTCCTCCCAGTCATATAATGTTGGGCCAATGACTGGTAAACCATCAACTCTTAGGCCAAGTTGAAGTGCAACATCCTCTAGTGTTATGGTGCACTCTCCGGTTGGAAAATGGAATGTATGAGTCTCAGGTCTCCATCTTTCAACCAAAGCTGTGATTAATGCGTGATCCACTTTCAGATGTCTGAGGTTTGCAACCCCAGAAAAACCAACTTCCTCTAGTATAGGAACAATTAGAGGGTGAGGTTCTGACATTGAATGACAGTAAGAACAAATAATATTCTCAGTCTCTTGCAATAATTACCAAAATTAGTACTAATTTATTACAAGTTCATTAAAATTTAAAGTAAATAACGAAAGTGCTAAACTTACCGTTCTACCAATGAAGGCAAACCTATGCTCATTTTGCTTCCACAACAACATTTTTTATATTTGGTTAATGAAAATTGAACCAAAAAAATAATTTCTTACTATGAAGGTGAATCAGAAGCAGTACAGGGAAGGAATAAAGGAGAGAAACTTAACTGAAATCGTATGAAAAAAATGAAGGGGAGAGGGCCTATTTATAGGAAAACATGTGTATTTACTATTTGCCCAAAACGGGCCGTTCCAAAACCAGAACGGCCTGTTCCAAACTACGTTCTCTTTCGTTAAAACAGCTCCTGGAACGGGCCGTTCCAAGGCCGTTCCACATTCAAAAACATGTGTAAATTTCTATTTTGGAACGGGTCGTTCTAAAAGAAGAACGGCCCGTTCCAGGTTAAAAAAAATAACTACAAAAATTATTTAAAACGGGTCGTTTCATGGGTCTATTTTTCCGTTAATTCTTAATTCTGGAAAGGCCCTTTCTTGGCCCGTTTTAATTTTAACAAAATGACTCTGTGGCTTTAAACAGAACGTCCGCTTGCCAAGTGGAGAGATTGCGAAAATCTTCATCATGATTCGTCGTCGTCCTGTCTGAGACTGGCAAAGGCGACTGATGTGACATGGTGAGGTCGACTCGTGGCATACTACGCCGTGAATTGCCTTACCAGAGTGTCGAAGTTGTCTATTGACTCCACCGGTAGTTGAGTGTACCAGTTGAGCGCTGCCCCCTTGAGCGAGGTCGGGAAAACCCTACACAGAATAGCATCTTTATTAGTGTATAGGTTTACCTGTGTAATGTATAGATCGACGTTCTCGTTTGGGTCTGTCGTGCCGTCGTAACGGTCGATGTGGAGAGGCTTCCATCCAAAAGGGAGAGGCGTTTCCATGATGCCATCCACAAAAGGATGACGGCGGAAGGTCGCTTGATTTCCCGTGACGTGGGCAGGAGCATTGCTGACCTCGTGAGCCGACCTGTTCGTCGGTGCGTGAGACCGATGTGTGACAGGTTGGGGAGTGGGGGCCCAAGGCACGGTTGGGGGTTGAGAGACTGAGTGCCCCTCTTCCTCGTGTTGGTTATTCGATGGAGGGGTTGATCATAAGGGAGCCGAGGAAGCTGGGCGCGAATACGTTCATTCTCAGCGCGCAGCGCCGCTAGGTCAGCTTTGTTAGCAGTACGCAGCGCCGCTAGGTCAGTTTCGTGCATGACACGCATGTTTCGCAAATCGGCGTCGTGTTGTTGCCGCATCTGCTCGACCTGTTCTATTAGTCTTCTCAATGATGCTGCGTCACCCATGCTTGTCGCGTGATCAGCGTCGTCTGTTGCTCGTCTGCTATGGCTTTTGGTGAAAACCATACGGGTGGCCGATAAGAGCCGTCTTGATCGGCCCCACGGTGGGCGCCAAATGTTCTTACCGGAAATCTGCGGTAGAGATGATCCGCCAGGTAAGATCGGTGAGCCTTCTTCACTGGTACGCTGGTGCTCCAAGATGGGGGTGGTACCTGCCAAAGAGATTCCGATGCTCTCCAAGATGGGGGTGGTACCTGCCAAAGAGATTCTGATGCTCAAGTTAGGGTTTGTATGAGTGTGAGTTTCGTATAAATAATGCACGTACCTGGGTGTGAATTAGGGTTTTTCTGGGCCTTGGGCCCGAGATCAGTTATGACCTAATTGGATAGCGGACCTCGTCTTGGCCGAGGTCGCCCAACGCGTATCCGAGGTTGTCTTGCGCTGTGATGCCGAGCTCGAGCTCGGTAAGACAGTACGGATAGTACACTAATGTTCCGAGTGTAAGTCGCTGTCATCGTTAGGGTCACCGCATCTGAGGTATTGTCCGCTTTGGCGCTCGTTGGGCCGTCACGGTTTTGTCCTTGAAAAGGCGCCTCGGTGGGTTAAGGAGGAAAGGTGTTTATAAACTAGCCTTAGCCTCGACTCCTAAGCGATGTGAGACTTTTAGGCATACCGGAACATCTTTCATTTCATTTTCATTAATATTAAGGATTAAGGTGCATGTTTTTACGAACAAAAAATTAAATGAGAGTTTAAACAAGTCAAGAACTAAAATATTCACACCTATAATTTTAGGAACTAATTTTACTCTTTAGGGTACTGGTTTGAGCTTTTTTACTAGCAATATCCTCCGTTACCGTTCATCTCGTTAAAAAAAAATGTCTTGCATTATTTATGACAATAAATGCTTCTTTCAATTAGCTTCTTTTTCCAAAAAAAGATTGAGAAAGATTAAAAAATGAATACTACTATTTAACTGAAGCAAACATGTCCAAATACCTTGAACTCTTATCCATGGTTGGAAAGGATTATTATTATTATTATTCAAAAAAGAAAAACAAAACATATAACCTTTTGATGAATTCACCCAAAAATTAAGGCCCAAAAATAATGTTGACTGGGCGGAGTCCAGTGTGGTGTCCATCCGATCTAATGTCTAGGTTCCTCCTCCACAAACAAAAAAAAAAAAAGATAAAGACGATATGCTTCCAAATTGCAATACATAAATAGAAATGTAGAATTTCGAAATTCCAACAAAGTTATTTATTTGAAACGGTAGATGAGGGAATAAAAGGCAAAAGAAAGCAGAAATGTTTTGGAAGCCTGGATGTTGTTGATAAAATAGGCAAAGGCAGTAGAATCTTCATTCTTGTGCTTACACATTCATGCATGCCATGTGAATGTGAATGTGATGAAGGAAAGGAGTACGATGTGGGTCCTCCACGCACCACGTCATCAAACGAATCCCTTTGTTGGGGAGAGGCAGCGACCCCACAATGGCCACGGGTATAACAGCGGATCCTTGTATAGGAACCACGTGGACAGGTGGGCCCCACCGGTAGTCCACGTGGTTGAACCCCAGCCTCCCCCACTCGGAAACAAACAGAGTGGTGTACGTCAGTGGAGGCGCAAACGGCTCCTCCAACTGCTCACCCTTCAAGTACTTGCCGAATTCCGCGCCTACCTTACCCTTCGCTTCTTTTATAAGCTTCACCACGTCAACCATTGATGCGTTTGTTAGCGACTCGCACGAAGCGCTGATGCTGACCGGGAAGAAACAGTTTCCGTAGAAGCCATTGGGCAGAGGAGGCTCCACCAGATTTCGGCAATTCGCAAAGAACACCAGCTTCAGTTGAGTATTGGGCCGGAATTGAATGGCCCTTGTTCGCGAGGCCCAACACGCTGCGGCCACCACCTCGAAGGCCGAGCAAGTGCGTCCAGTGGCTTGTTCAAATTCTCTCTTCACACCCTTTATTTGGTCCATGGGCATGTCTATGTTTGCATGCTCTAGCTTGTACTCTGCCATTGGAGGTATTGGATTTGGTGGCAATGCAATTTGTTGAGACGGGAAAAAGTCCCTTTGCCAAACCGGTTCAACACTGGGCTTGTCCAGTCCCCTAGCTAGTTCCCCGATTGCATTTAGAAACTGTGCTGCACCAAGACCATCACATATGCTATGGCAGAATATGAGACCCATCACAAAACCCCCGCAACCAAATTCTGTCACCTGATCACGGATATCAACATCAATTCACATAACAATATTTTGTAAAGTAAATGATATTCGTACCTGCATTTGCACGAGGGGTTGGATGCATTGGCTCTCACTCTCGGGAAGAAGATCATCATATGGAATAGAGTGAAGGTTGTCAAAGTAATTGAGGGAGTGAAGGGTGGAATGAGAAGATGCCTCGACAAGCCACACTCCATGGGCAGAGCATTGAATTTGGAGGCACCCTGGTTTGGGTTCTATGAGACGTCCCGCAAGAGGGTAATAAGGAACGAGTGCTTTGGACAAAGCCTCTCTTATGACCCTTGCTGCTTGAGGACCGTGTTTGAAGACGTGTAAGGTTCTAACGTTGCATCTTAGGACACCTAATTTATCGATTGCTGATAGGTCTAGTGTGGTCAAAGGAGTCTCCTCAGCTGGTTTAACTAGACCTTCTTTTCTTCTTATCACAGACAATGCCATTCTGCAACACAGACAAAACCAACCACAACAAAATCAGCCTTCGCAACAATCTCTATATCCTCAATTCTCAATAGCATTTCCATTTATAAATCATTCTTTTTATATTTTATATTTTCAGTTCCCTCGCCTTTAAGTCTAAACTTTGTTTGGTGTACAAAGGAGAACTGTTCCGCCAAGCTTTCTGCCATCTTAATTAACACCTAGTACTAATATTTGTCTATTCAAATCTTTCATTTTTTTTTTAAACAAAGATGGACAGAGTTTATGTTTGAGTTGCTTTTTAAAAATGCCATAAAACAATTTTTTATTTTATATTTGTGCAAATAATATTAGTTTTAGAAGCCAAATGAGGCACTTAGAGCTAGACTCCTTTTTAAATAGTGTACCAGGTTTGTATCCCATATGTTAAAGGAAGTATATAATTAGTCTCAAATTTAAATTCTAAGAATAACTCTCAATGTATTATAATTACTTACATTTTTTGAAAATGGAAGGGGCATCGTAATATAATTTCTAATTTCAAAATGTACGTACAAAAATGTTTTTTTTCTTCATATATTTACTTTATGTAGAGCTGTCAAAACGGGTAACCCGGCCCGGCCCGGCCCGGCCCACCACGGGTTGAGTCTTTGGTGGGCCAACCCAACCCAGCTCGTTTATTGGTGAGCTGGAAAAAATTGAGCCCGGCCCGGCCCACCACGGGTTGGTGGGCTAAACGGGTTGGCTCACCTAATTTGAAAAAATCACCTAATTTAAAAAAATGTAATCAAATTTAATGCCTAATCCTGCAAAAATAGTATGCACATAAGCTTTTCTAGAGAAAAGTAAATAAATTCCTACACTAATTACATAATTTGAAGAAAAAATACATAAAATTGAGAACCTATGATGGTCTATGAAGTTTTATTTGGCCCAACCCAATAGCAGAAATTTTTTTTTTTTTTTTATGGGCTGGTGGGTCAGCCCGGCTCACCACGGGTTGAACCCGGGTGAGCCGGGTTGTTAGTGGGCCGGGTTTAAAATTGGCCCACACTGAAATTTGCAAAAAAAATTTAGCCCAACCCGGCTCGAACCCGTGGTGGACCGGGTTGGCTCACCGGGCTGAGCCCATTTTGACAGCTCTAACTTTATGTTACCTCCACACTCCCTCCCCATCTCACTATTAAAAAGAGGTGTGAAAGTATAAAAAATACGAACTTTAAAATATTAATGAATATTCAAATAATCATTTTTTAATAAAATAAAGACAAATCACTTATATATGAACACTAAAGATAATATATTAATCTACATAACATAATGCTGAATACATAAAAGAATGCTTGGACCCATTGAAATACATCCAGTTTTATAATGAAGTATTTAGCAATGAATCATATGATACAATGCTCAAATTTCAACCATTCAATCTTTTTTACTTAATGGATTCCTGTTTTTTTTTCGATTGAAGACAAAGCTAAAATGTTAATAAGTGCATGTTTGGGTTTTAATGTAAACGTGAATTTTCACGTTTAGTTGAAGTAAAAAAATTTTGAATCCATCTTCAACGTGAAAAGAGTATAAAATCAGGTTTTAAAATCCAATCCAAACATGCACTAAAATATTGTGAACGTGCCTTCAAATAAAGCAAACAACTTAAAAAATTGGATTGATATAAAATTTTCAAGGACAAAAATAACGTAACAAGTATTTTTGTCGTGGATCTCCTTGTGATTAAAATAGAAGATTTCAATTTCAATTTTTTTTTTGGATGAACTTTTCGAGTAAAGATAGTTAAGTTTACTAGTAAAAGTTAGTAGTTAGATTATAAAGAAGATAAGAGACCGAAAATACCTAACTACCACTTTTCTTTTCTTTTCTTTTTTTTATATTCTAGAATTTTCAATCTTATTAGTTAAAAAAAAAATTAAGAAAACGAGGATCAAAAGAAGTAAATATAATAATATTAATTTTTAACCGAAAAAAGAGGAAAAGGGAAGAGAAGAGAAGGGGAGAAATGAAGAGAAGAAAGAGAAGAGGTGGAACGGGCGGAGGAGGTGTGGTGGTCGGCGTCAGCACGGTGGTTCGCGCACGCGGTGGTCCGCGTGACGCAATGCGGTGTCCGTACGTGGAGCAGTCGTCCGACGCGGTGGATCGACGCGTGGAGCGGTCGTCCGTCCAGGGTGGTGGTCCGGTGCGGGAAGAAGAAGAAAGAGAAAAGAAAAAGAGGTTTTTTGACCAAAGTGTGGTTCTTTTAAAACTTTATTACGTAAATGGGGCTGTTTTTTAAGTATTTATGCCTTTGGGATTGTTTATAACGGTGTCGCTATAACTCATAGCGACACCGGTGACACGTGACATTATTTTCACTTCAGGGAAGCCATGAAAGTCATATACTTAAAGTCGCTACAGCCCATAGCGCCACTAAACGGCTTAAATAAAGTCGCTATAGCACATAGCGCCACCAAACGGCTTAAAAAAAATAAATTCAAATGTAAAAAACAAACTAAGTTAATAATTTTATAAAAAAAAATTAGTGACGCTATGTGTCGCTATAGGCCATAGCGCCACTTTTATAAATATTTAAATAGATAAAAAAGGAAAAAAATATGTATAAAATAAAGAAATTATAGAAATAATAAATTTATAAATATATATTTATATGAAATTGATAATATAAATTAAAATTTGGAAGAAAAAAAATTAAGTTAATAATTTACTGGAATTAAATAAATTTTTGTAAAATAATTTACTAGAATGTTAAGTATATAATAATTTTTAACAAATATATTTTATTTAAAAATTGTGTATAGTGTATAATAAAAAATGAAAAAAAATAATTTTTTTCTAGGGACAGAATTTATTTATATAAATGGAAATAATAAAAAATACAAAAAAAATGAATTACAAAATAATTTTTAGAAAAAAAACTAGTACAATAAATCTGGAGAAAAAAAAACCCAATAACCTAAAAAAATGAAAATAATAAAAAAAAAAGGTTAGTGTCGCTATGGACTATAGCGACACAATGGCGCTATGGCCCAGAGCGACACTAGCCTTCTTTTTTTTTTTTTTAAATTCGTTTTTTTGCTACTTAAAGTCGCTATTGGGTATAGCCGCAAAAAATCGTTATGGCCCCAAAGCACCAGCCCTTTTTTTTTTTTTTTTTTAGTTTTTAGTTTTTTTACCTCAATTTTTCTTTTAAATTTTTGTTTTTTTTTGTTATTGGGTCATTTTTTTCTGCAGATTTATTCTACCAGTTTTTTTTTAGAATTTATTTTGTAATTCATTTTTTTTGTGTTTTTCTACATTTTTTCCCTTCACTTATTTTTTGCCCAGTTTTTTTTAAATTTACATATAAAAAATTTATTAATACACTTAAATAATAAATTTTCTTTAAACTACACAATTAATTATTTTTAATTAAATTTATTAACAAATTACTGAAAATATATTTTTAATTATATTAAACAAAATACTTAAAATATAAATTTAATTAAATTTGTTTATTTCTGTACTTATTTAATTAAAAATATAAAAATTAAGTTTTTAAAATGAAATGTTAATATTTAAAAAATAAATAATTTTCCCGAGTTTTTTAAAAATTAACATATTTATAAAATAATTTTCGTTTTTATTTTTTTACTTATTTTTTCCACAATTTTTTTAAAATTTAACATATTATAATATACTTTTATTTTAATTATTTAGTTTCTGTACTTTTAGTTATAAATATAAAAACGCAAAATTAAAAATAAAATGTCATTATTGCAAAAAAAAATACAAAATGTGTGGCGCTATGGCCCATAGCGACACTCATGACACGTGGCAAATTTGAGTTTCAATATAAGCCATGAACGCCATATTAAACGAGTCGCTGTAGCTGGTGGAGACTTTTATAGAGATGCTATAGGCTAAAGCGCCTCAAGTCGGCTTAAAATAATCTAAAATAAATTTAAAAAAAAAAAAAGAAAATTAAAAAATGGGGCGCTATGGCTGATGACGCCTCCCAGGAGTCTATTTAAAAACCATATTTAATATTTTATAAATATAAAAAATGAAAATTAATTTTATAAAAAATGTCTGATAAAAAAGAAAAAATCAATAGAAATTTTTAAAAATATAAAGTTAAAAAATGAACTAATATAATGTGAAATAAATTAAAAAACGAAAAAAAAAATTTTAAAAATTGAGGCGCTGTGGCCTAGGGCGCCTCCAAGGCGTTTGGGCTCACAGCGCCTCAAGTGGTCTGATATTTATACCATATTTAATATTTTATAAATACAAAAAATGAAAATTAATTTTTTTAAAAATTTCTAATAAAAAAGAAAAAACAATAGAAATTTTTAAAAATATAAAGTTAAAAAATGAAGTAATATAATGTGAAATAAATTTAAAAACGAAAAAAAAAATTTAAAAATTGAGGCGCTGTGGCCTAGGGCGCCTCTGAGACGGTTGGGCTCACAGCGCCTCACGTGGTGTTTTTGTAAAGTATATATATTATATTTTATAAAGATAAAATATGAAAAAAAATTTATAAAAAAATGTCTGATAAAAAATAAAAAAAATTAAAATTTTTGAAATATTATAACTTTTAAAAAGAGGTAATATAATGTGAAAAAAAATTAAAAACGAAAAAATATATATATAAATTTGAGGCGCTATGGCCCAGAGCGTGACCACACACAGGCTAACACGTGTCCACAACTAATTTGAGGCGTTGCAACTAATAGCGCCTCATTAGTTGACCGGCTGCGTGACCACACAGAGGCTGACACGTGTCCATAGCTAATTTGAGGCGTTGCAACTCATAGCGCCTCATTAATTGACCGCCTGCGTGACCACACAGAGGCTAACACGTGTCCACAGCTAATTTGAGGCGTTGCAACTCATAGCGCCTCACTTGGCGCGTAATAAATTCACCGCGTGCTTGGCCAATGAGACGCTGACACGTGGCACTGCGGTTAAAAACTTTTTGTATGTAATTTATAATTATTAAAAAATTAAATTTATATAAATTTTAAAATGATTTCATTTAATTCTGTGTTATTTATGTTAATTAAAAAAAATA